GGGGCCGAGGTCACGTGCGGCGGGGAGGACGGGAGGCTGCGGGCGGAGCCTGGAGGCCCGGAGCGCGGGGGCTCCAGGGCAAAAGGGCAGGGACAGGGGTGGGGTTGGGGCTGCAGGGGCTGCAGGTGCGGGGTGCATCCTGGCCGCAAACTCGGCCCGTTCCCCGTCCTTCTCCTCGTAGCGGCGTCCTCCGAAGTCGCCAGGATTGGGTAGAGCCCCGTCCTCCCAATTCCCGACCCCGGCGCAAAGCTCCAGGGTTCCCCAGTGCACCCCTCACTCCAAAATATATCTACTCAGATAGTCGAGATATTCACGTGCCTCTCTTTAAGTTACAAAAGTACACGCTCCCGGTTAACAGTGTAAATAAAACAGGTGTTTTAAGAGGCGGATGGAAAGCCCCGACCATTCCATTTCTCCCCAGGAACACCCCTGGGTCCTCCCTAAAAAGAGAAATGGGGCTATGCCCCCCCAGATCCCTCGCACCTTCCTTTATTTCCTCGCCCATCTCCCATGGAGGTCTGGAGGTTAGGTCACAGACCTTTCCCTCCTTCTAGCTCGCTCCTGTGACAGGAGCCCAGACTGGCCTCCCCAGATCCACCCGCCTGGCCCACCCTCGGGGACTTAGGTGTCCCTGTAGGTCCCACAGGCAGAATCTGCCCCCTCTGCCTGGGGCTGATGTCCCTGGGGCTAGCCACCTCCCTCGTCCCTTCCTTGAGCATCTACTGCCCCGGGTGACAAAGGGGTGATGGGCAGGGTCCCTTTCCCAGAAAGAGAGGAGTGGAGGGGAAGCGGGGAAGAGCAGAAGTCAAAAGGAATCTGGTCTCGGGCTGCATGAGGCCCCATTGCGTATCCTACTGTGTGTCCCCGTTAGCTGGGGCTTGTACCCGTCTCATTCCCCTCGCCACACGGTGCTGAGGGAACAGCTCAGAGAGGAGAGGTGCTTGCCTCAGGTCGCCCCACCGGGGTTCAATCCCCGTCTGTTTGGCTCCAAAGTCCTTGCTTTTCCCATTGCTCCACGACCCTGTAGCAGGCTGATCCTTCCAGCCTGGGACAGGAATGTGGGTGCTTAGAAGAGGGAACGCAGCCACAAAGCCTGCCTCTCCATTGTGTCCCCCAAAAACAGCAGGGGTCTGTCTAGAGCCCAAACCAGATCCCCTACCCTAAACCCTCCCTTTGCTGGTCATCGCCACACCTGAAATAACATCCACCATCACTGTGCACCCCCACCCACCCCTTGTTGACTACCACCGTCCTCTCCTTGCATGTGGCCCAATGACGCTGCCCCGCCTGTCCATGAAACATACCACCACCTCCTTTCCCACCCCAGGGCCTTGGCACATCCTGTTCCCTCCATCTGGAAACTCTTCCTCCAGATGTTGAAAAGTCTCCATCCCTCCCTCCCTCCAGGTTTCTGCTCAGACATCACCTCCTCCTCCTCCCCTGAGGGCCCTCCCCCACCATGCCCCTGGCCCGTCACTCTCTTGCCTTTACTTGTCCCCCTGTATGGTTCTTGTTTTTTTGTGTGTGAGGAAGATCAGCCCTGAGCTAACATCTGATGCCAATCCTCCTCTTTTTGCTGAGGAAGACTGGCCCTGGGCTACCATCCTTGCCCACCTTCCTCCACTTTATATGGGCCGCTGCCACAGCATGGCCTGACAAGCGGTGTGTCAGTGTGCGCCTGGGATCTGAACCCGGGCCGCCAGCAGCAGAGAGCGTGCACTTAGCCACTACGCCAGGGGGCCGGCCCACCCCTGTATGGTTCTTAATCACGACCTGATGTTATATGACATGTCTATTTGCTCTTGGTCTTGGTCTGCCTGGCCCGCTAGGCGGTCAGCAAATTGAGGGCAGCACTTGGTCTCGTTCCCACTGTGTCCACAGCACCTGGAAGAAGACCTCACACACAGCCTGTGTTCAGTTCATGGACGTCGGATGAATAAATGAATGAACAGCGGCCCTGAATGTAGAATTGAAAAGTGTTCATATTCACAACTCTCAGAATCAATGTCTGGTCCCTGTGGGGGAGGGGGTGGTGTCTCTCACCTGGAGAAGGGGTGAGTCTCCCCAGGGCAGCAGGAGCCCAGCCCCATGGGCTGTGTTAGGGCTGGGGTGGAGGGGCTGTGGAATGTCGGGGGTGAGCCCTCCTTTCATCCCCTCTGGCCTTGGGTGTGCCTGTTTCCTCCGACACAAAACCCGCCTCTGTGGACCACCAGGAGGACTCCTCTTTATCCCGCAAAACCCTTCATGGCACCACTCTTTCTCCTGGACAGCAATTACCCATTACGGGTGGGACTCCCCTGGGGGACCTTGGAAGTGGGGCTGGCCCGTTCTCCAAGAGGCGGAGTTTGGAGTGTGGACCGGAGTTGAAGGCAGGTCCCTGGCACTGAGGTTTTAGTTTGTGATCTGCTTGCCTTGTTGACAAGGTTTTGGGACCCCAACCTGGGAGGAGGGAGAGGGACACTGCAGAGTCCAGAACCTGCCCTCAGGGCGTGGGCACTCCAACGGAGTGGGGGGTGTGAAAGTGTTTCTGTGGAGGAGGAGGTGGTGTGGGGGAGGGGACAATGCCTGGTGGGCAGGATGCTGCCGCAGGGGCTGGGTCAGTGCTGGTCCCAGGCCTGCGTGAGGCCTGGGGGTGCCCACTGGTATAATCAAATTAATGGCTGTCAATTATTAAGCACTTACTCTGTGCCAGGCAAGGATCCAAGCATGTCACAGGGAGTAACACTCCTAGGAAGTGGGAGCCATTATTATGATCCCCATTTTACAGATGAGGAAACTGAGGCCCAAAGAGGCCAAGAGCCTTGCTGAAGGTCACACAGCTGGTGAGTAGTGGAGCCAGGATTCACACAACCCTGAGGAGCACCAGAGGCCACGCCCCTAACCCCACCTGTGTGTCTCCAAAACAGAAGGCCGGCTGGAAAGGCACCTAGCAAGTGCTCCATAAATATTTGTTGAAGGAATGAATTCAACAAATTCGTGCCTGTCTAGAAATCTCTCTCCCACTGGCCTCAGTGCCCACAATTCCATCACCAGGAAATGCTGCTACACCTTACCCCCACCTCCTCCCCAGAGTGCCTCTATCCCTGGGCTCAGTTAATGAGCACAACAGCCAACCTTGCAGGGGAGAAAACTGAGGCAAAGAGAGAGTGAGAAACCAGAACCCAGATCTGCCTGCACAGCCTGCTGCCCTTTTAAAGTGCAAGCACCCCTGGGAGGGGTAGCACATAAAATGTCATTGCCATTTACACCTTCTGGTAAGGGCATCTCTTAGCTGCTAAAGGTCACATGCTGAGCTGATGGGAAAGGACTGGGGGAGGGGAGGGGGAAAAGGTTCATGATTTTGGAACACCAGGGGCTGAGAAAAAGCTGGGTGGGATGGGTGCCAGATGAGACAGATGGGTATAAATGGGAAGTGGGATGGGGGTGGGAAAACAGACCTTCAGCACTTCCTAGTATTTCTTGCAGTGTCTGCAGCTCGAGAGGGAAGAGACCCTGGGTGACCTCTGGGGGCCCTGTGCCTTTTCTGGGGCCACTGGTCCCCAGGGCTCTCTGCTTGGACATATTCCCATCCCTGCCCCTGGGCTGAGGGCATAGAAGGGGCTCAGATGGAGAAGGGACCAGGGCACTCTGTACCTGCTGCCCCCACCGTGGTGGGCAGTGGGGGGGGGCAGGTGGACACTAGTTGAACGATTCAATGGAGCAGAACTTGGAATCCCCTGGAGCCACCCAAGGCACAGAGGTGGCCCCATACTCTTCCAGGCCACCTGGGTGTCTGCAGCCCAGAACTGGTCATGGGCACAGCTGATCTGCCCCGAAGCTCACAGGATCCCAGATGCTCAGCTAGGTGCCTCCTCCTCTCCATCCCCAGCCCCTGGAGGGACATCCCTGGATGCCAGTGAGGGAAGGGCATCTGTTCCCTGAGCTCCTACTGTGTGTCAGGCTCTTGCTGGGCCCCTCACACACTTTCTCATTTAATCCTCACAATGGCAGATGGAACAGGAGCTCAGAGGGTGAAGCTGCTTGTCCAGAGTCACCCAGAGCCAGACTTGAATCCAGGCTTGGTAGCTCTCGCCCGGCTCCAGCTGTCTTGCTGATGGGGGTCCTGCCCCAGCCTCACTGCCTGCTGGAGGCCGGGGGGGCTGGTGGAGAGGTCTTGGCCATGCCAGGCCAGCTTGGGGGCTCCTAGGGCCCCGGGCTCCTGCTGGCTTCTGCTGGCCCCTGAATGCCTCCCTCCTCTGCAAGGACTTCCTCCATTGGCCTCCCAGTGCCCAGGTTAGAGGATGGGACAGGGAAGAGGGGAGGGAGGGAAGGATCAAGAGAGGTCAGATCAAGCCTGGAGAAGTCCTCTCTGCCGTCTTCTCCTGCAGGACCAAGGCTAAGGGGGAAACTGTCAGTGGGGTCTGGGGTGTTGGGGGCAGAGGCCAGCAGGACACCATTAGCTGTGACCGCTCAGGGGGCTGTTGGGCTGCCGTGTGGGGGGACAAGCAAGGAAGAGCTTGGTGGGACTCAGGCAAGGACGCGATGCTCACAACAAACCATGTGGGACTTTTGTCTGCTTCATTTTCACTTCCCCCAAGTCCTCCTGCCAGGCCCAGGGGTCTTGGTGGGGTTTTCCACAGTGATTTCCTCCATGGCTCCCCTCCTCTCTGACTGCCTGGGTCCTCCATCTCCCTCTGGCTCTTCCTCTGCCCTGGCGGGCCTAGGATCTCCTGGACCCTCACGTTGGGCCTGTGCTGGGGGCCTCCTCTCGGGGGGCAATGCCAGGGCTTTCTCCCTCGGAGGCGGCAGGTGTGGTCAGGTTCTCAGGGGCCTCTGGGGTGGGATCTGTGGGTGGGGCAGAGGAGGCTTCATCGCAGGGGCTGGAGGCTGAGCTGGCAGCAGTTCTGGGGGTCTGGGCCTCACAGTTCACCTGGGGCTGGGCCGTGGAGTTCAGCTGAGACTGGACCACAGAATCTGACTGTGGTTGGGCCGTGGGATCTGCCTGTGGCTGGGCCGTGGGGTTCGCCTGTGGCTGGGCCTCAGCTGTTGGCCCTGGCAGAGTGTGACCCCCAGAGTCCACGTGGGTCTGTGGCTCAGCGGGTGCGAAGCTGCCTGGGCGTTCCTCGCGGAGAGCTGCCGCGAAGGAGGAGAACATCGAGTGCAGCAGGGCCCGGAGGTCAGCGCTGGCCAGGAAGCAGAGGAGGGGACTGAGGCAGCTGTTGAGCAGGATCAAGTAGTCAGAGTAGACCAGGGCCTCCCAAAGCAGGTAGCCGGGGTAGATGTCCCACAAGAAGGCCAGGTACAGCAGCTGAGCCAGCTGGTAGGGCAGCCGCAGGACCACGTAGGCTGACAAAATGGTCTTGGCCACACGGGCAAAGCCACGGCAGGTCGTGGGCCTAGGCTGGTGGCGGCGGCAGGTCTTGCAGGCGGCAGCCTGGGTGAGCACGTGGCAGACGAGCAGCAGGAAGAAAGGCAGGGAGCCCCCCAGGATCTCGAGCATCCTCAGCGGCAGCTCCTCGCTGTCCCAGAAGTCCAGGCAGATGATCAGGTCATACCACCAGACGGCAGCCTCGGGGAAGACCAGCCAGGGCACACTGAAGAGTGTGGCCAGCACCCAGACCCCGGCACAGACCCAGAGGGGCAGGCGGGCTGGGCGACGCGCAGGGTACCAGCGTGGGCACAGTGCCAACAGGCAGCGGTCCAGGCTGAGGGCTGCCAGCAAGAAGAGGCCAGAGGAGTAGGACACACCCCACAGGAAGTAGTAGAAGCGGCAGGCAGCCGTCCCCAGTGGCCAGCGCCCTCCGTGCTGGATCTCCAGGATCTGGAAGGCCGCTGCCGCCAAGAACAAAAAGTCAGAGAGGGCCAGGCTGAGCAGAAGCAGAGCCAGCCGTGTGCCTGCTCCTTGCCGGGCCTGCGAGCCGGCCAGCCACGCCATGAGCCCATTGGCTGGCAGCCCCAGGAGCAGCAGGACCACCAGGAAGACTGTGTCCCAGCCACCCTGGGGGTAGTAGTCCTCGTCATCCAGCTCTGTGCGGGGCCTGCGGCCAGCAGCACCCACATTGGCTTCCATAGCAACATCCATCTGAGGTCCCCAGTGTACCGCTGGACACGGAGTGGGCGCCTGGTGAATCAATGAAGGCACGAATGATTATGACAGAGAGGGTATTGTGCATCTCCAGGAAAGTCACTGTCCCCCTCTGGGCCATCATCATCACCTTTCAGGTAGTTATTCTGTGCTAGGGACTTTAAATAGATTACCTCACCTAGTCCTCATACAACCCATTTTACAGGTGAGTACAGGAAGGTTCAGAGGATCAGAGACTTGCCTGAGGTCAGAGGCAGGCAGGGAGGGCCCAGGACTCAAACGCAGACCTAACCATTCTGCCCCACAGAATGCCCGTGTCCAAGTAGACTAGATCAGAGGCTTTCAAAGATATTTCTTAAGCTGGTGAATATTTTCTTTAAATGAAATATTATAGTGGAACTCCTATATGAACTAAAAGGGGATGCTCAGATTAAAGGAGGCAAGAGTGCCCCCAGGGATCCAGGGAACACAGTTTGAAAACCACTTGGTCAGATCACCACAGGCTCCTTTTTGTCTGGTATCCTGGGGTTCAAGTGTTTAAGATTCCAAGAAGGGAGGGGCCAGGGTCCCGTGAGCCCATAGGAGTCTGAGGGCAGAAGGGAATCTGGGGCAGAAGAGGCCCCTCCCCGGAGCCAGTGCACTCAGGGGAGGTCTGAGGCTCAGGGCCCAGGCAGCCTGGGGCCAGGAGGGCTATCCTGGGAGGAGCTGGAGCCTCTTCATCATCCTCTGCCCCAGCTGGGACCGTCTCCCTCTTCTCACAGCTCAGGCAGAAGGTGGCCCCCATTTGTCCCCTGGAGCAACTCAACAGAGGAGGCGGCTCAGCTGTGTGATCAGGATGAGGGTGGCTGGCACCCAAGAGGCCTGCTGTCCCCACCCCCTTCCCTCGCTGGTCAAGAGAGTTTCCCTCCGAGGGTGGAGAAGGCCCTGGTGGCAGCACAGAGTCAGGAGAGAAAGCAGATGCCCCAGAAAGACTGGATCCTGCTGTGGCCTTCCGCCAGGTGGCCTCCCCACCCCCAGGGCCCTTCCTCAGCAGACCCCACTCTGCAAGGTCCAGCTGCTGCTGGATCAGAGCCCTGGGTTCCCCCCGCCCCGACTGGTGAGGCCCGGCTTACCTGTGAGGCGCAGGCTGCTGGCTGGGAGGAGCAGGGCGTGCCTGCCTGCTCAGCGGTCAGTTGTCCGCATGGCCCCACGCCGGCCTGCTGCATGGCGCCTGGCGGCGCTGAGGCGGCCGGTGTGAAACCCAAGCTGGGAGGATATCAATCATTCATGGGGCTGCTCGCCGGGAAACCCTAACCCCCGCCCAGAAGGGCCAAGTGACCAGCCAGGTCCCCCCACCCCCTGCAGGGCCAGATGGCTGAAACTCCCTCACCCTGGGTCCTTCCAGCTCAGGGCAGGCCCTGTTTCCCCCTGGGGTCCACCTCCTCTGACGTCACCCCCATGCCCCTCAGTTGGCATTCAAGGCCTCTGTGATCTGGCCTCTCTTCCTCAATTTCACACACCCTCTGCTCCAGCCAGGATGTCTCCCATGGGGGGACTGCAGTGGGCAGCTTGTCCTATGTTTCCCCACCTCCCAGCCTTTGCCCACACTCTCCCTCCTGCCTGAGATGCCTTCCCGTGTCCTATCTCAGCCAAGTCCTGCCCATGTCACACGACCGGGCTGAGGCCTTGACTCTGCAGCAATATTGCCCTCATTTTATAGATGAGGCAGCTGAGGCTCAGAGAGGTGAATTTGCTGGGTCTCCCAGCTCATCGGTGGCAAAGCTGGAGTCGAAGCTCTTTGCAGCCACCATGTCTTGGCACCCCTTCTTGATGAGGACAGTTCTCTTGACCCATCTGGCTCTGTCTGGCCACCCCCCGAGCCACGGGCCAGGATTAGGGCCTGGGCTGCCTGCCTCACTTACCCTAATCCCTCTCAGGACCTGATCCCAGGCCAGCAGCTCTCAGAGTGGGGGTGCATAAGCAGCTTTGTGGGTCCCAAGAGCCAAGGGTGCCCCGTGGTGCTGCTCTCCACATGGCCACAGGGCAGGCGAGGGGACAGCAGGGCCCAGACCTGGCCCTCAGCCCTCAGAAGCCCCCTGAGGGGGTCATGGCTCCCAAGAATGGTGCTGAGGGGCATCCTTTGACTAGGAGGAAGAGCAAAAGGGGGCTTCGAGGGTCCCGGAAGGGCAGCTCTGGGGAGCAGACCCCCATCCAGGGCCGTGAGGCCCCAGGGAGCAGCAAGAACCCCTCTAGGACGGGAGAAGGGCAGGAGGGGCCAACCCCTGCAGCCCCTGGGTCGGGCTCTCGTCGGCAGTCCCACCGGCACCGTTCTGCCCCGCAGCACGATGCTGCTCACAGGACATACGGGCCCCTGCTCAACCGCATCTTTGGGAAGGTCAGGTGGGGCCTGGGCAGGGTTGGGGGCCTGGGGGTGGGGGTGGGGACTCAGCCCGCAGGCTCAGCCCGACTTGCCCCTAGTGCTCAGGCCTCCTGTTGCTTCTGCTCCAGACTTGGGGAGCCTGGGCGGTGGGGCAGGGTTTCTGCAGTTTGGGGAAGGGTAGGTCTTGGGCTGGCCAGAGCCCTGGCTGGCCCGGGGAACACGCTGGACTATGCCCCTACAGGACCGCGAGCTGGGCCCCGAGGAGCTGGATGGTGAGTGGCCTTTGCTGGCGACGGTGGGTGGCAGGTCTCCCTGAGCCTGGCTGCCTGGGCCTGACCTCCCTCCCCTGCAGAACTTCAGGCCGCCTTCGAGGAGTTTGACACTGACCATGATGGCTACATTGGCTACCGGGAGCTGGGCGCCTGTATGCGGACACTGGGCTACATGCCCACTGAGATGGAACTCATCGAGGTCTCACAGCACGTCAAGATGCGAAGTCAGTACCTGACCCCGCCGGCCTAGGGTGGGGCAGGGCCGGGCCGGAGCTGCCTGGCTTTTCCTGGAGGCTGGGCAGCTCTGTCCTCTCTGAGCCTCATGGTTCATGGGGACGATGAGGGCGTGGTGGGAGGTGGATCTGAGAGTGTCTGGCAGGGGGGATGGTGGGAGTGAGGGGGTGGCAGTTTCCAGGGCAATTTAACGGTTTGACGTTGGCCCTGTCAGATGCAGGGACACCACGGATTGAGGAAGTCACCTGGCCATCCAAGACAGGCTCCAGGGGTGTCCCCACCTCTGTGATAAAATGTTCCCTGCTGGTACTAGCCATCTTTCTCTCTCTTTCTCTCTGCCCTCTCTCTCCCTCCCTCCCTCCCTCCCTCCCTCTCTCTCTCTCTCTCTCTCTCTCTCTCTCCTGACAAGAGCCTTGAGAGGTTCTGTGAGGCCTGGTGTGACAGAAGTCTGGCCATTCCTTGCGATTAAATGTCAGATGGGCGGTACTTGTGTGATTATCATTAGCTGATTTGTCCTCAGACAGATATCAGATTCCCTTCGTTCCAGGACACCTACATTATTTTATTCTTGACAGTTTCCAAAGTGGGATGTGATTTACAATCGATGTGAACTTTTAGTGTCATCCTTCTTTTCTTTCCCCCAAGCTGTTAATTGACCATCGGAGTTTTTTATAATTGATGGTGTCTTAGAACCGAGGGACCAAATGGGTATGCTTCTTTTTTTTTTTTTTTTTTGCGAGGAAGATCAGCCCTGAGCTAACATCCATGCCAATCATCCTCTTTTTTGCTGAGGAAGACTGGCCTTGGGCTAACATCCGTGCCCATCTTCCTCTATTTTATATGGGACGCTGCCACAGCATGGCTTGACAAGTGGTGCATCTGTGCGTGCCCGGGATCCGAACCAGGGCCGCCAGCAGCGGAGTGCGTGCACTTAACCGCTATGCCACAGGGCTGGCAGGGCCGGCCCCTGGGTATGCTTCTTTTTTTTTTTTTTCTGTGAGGAAGATCAGCCCTGAGCTAACATCTGCCAATCCTCCTCTTTTTGCTGAGGAAGACTGGCCCTGGGCTAACATCCGTGCTCATCTTCCGTGCTCGTCTTCCTCCACTTTATATGGCACGCCGCCACAGCATGGCTTGACAAGCAGTGTGTCGGTGCGCGCCCGGGATCTGAACCTGCGAACCCCGGGCCGCCGCAGCGGAGTGCGCGCACTTACCCGCTTGCGCCACCGGGCTGGCCCCCTGGGTATGCTTCTTAAGGGGCGTTTATTGCTGCCTGTGGTGTTCCAGCACTTTATAACATGAACCCCAACCCCAATAGGAACCCACGGAGTAGCTTCTCTTATCCCGTCCCAGGATGAGGACAGAGGTTTAATAAGTCACCCAAGGCCATGCACGACTGGCAGCAGAGCCAGGGTTTGAACCGGGGCTGTTTGGTTCCAGAGCCTGGTTCTTTCCCCCACACTTGGGTGCTTCGCTGAGTGCACCCAAGTTCTTCACCCCCCAGCAGAGAGCAGGGGTCCAGCCTCCTACACCCTTGAGGGCGTGGACACCGTGCTCCTTCCTGGAAGCAGAACTGGGGAAGGGCTGGCCCTCGTGATGGCCCTCCTTGGGCCCCAGCCCTCACCATTGTGACAGGCTGTCTGGGTTTGCAGTGGGTGGCCGTGTGGACTTCGAGGAATTTGTGGAAATGATGGGCCCAAAGCTGAGGGAGGAGACGGCGCACATGTTGGGGGTGCGGGAGCTGCGCATCGCCTTCCGAGAGGTGTGGAGCATGGTTGGGGCGGGTGGTGGTGGCTGGCTGGGTGGCATCCTTGCTGGCCTCCCACCCAGGCCGGGGAAGATGGAGGCCTCAGCCTCTGGAGGCCCAGAGCCCTGCAGGTGGTGGGACTAGGATCAGGGAGGGGTCAGAAAGGGTTTGGCTCACTCCGCACTGGGGGATTCACCCAAGGCGACGTCTTGGAGAGGGGGCCCCTGTCTCGGCCTGGAGGAGGAGGAGGTTGGATGGGAGAAGATGAGGGCATCAGGCACAGGATGTGGCAAGTTTATGGGCGCAGGCAGAGGCAGCTTTGGGTGGGAGGGGCTGAGCCCTGCTGGGATCTTAGTTTGACAGGGACCGGGATGGACGAATCACGGTGGCGGAGCTGCGGCAGGCAGCACCGGCTCTGCTGGGGGAGCCACTGCTGGGTCCTGAGCTGGATGAGATGCTCCGAGATGTGGATCTCAATGGAGACGGCACCGTAGACTTTGATGGTGAGGCTCCCTTCCAGACAACCCCTGTCCCTCCAGCTCCAAGGCTGAGCCTGCCGCCTCCTGGGATCCCTGACCTGGATCAGTCCAAGCCCCACCCCTTCTCTCCCACAGAGTTTGTGATGATGCTTTCCACCCACTGAGGCTCCAGGAGGGAGACTGCGTCACCCCTCTGGCCCCAGACACCAGCAGGGTTCAAGCCGCACACCCTCCCCATGAGGCTCCAGGATGGAAGAGACCCAGCAGCCCCCAGGCTTCTTCTGCCCCTGACAACACCTGGCCGGAGAGTTGGCTTGTGATGTCACCAACCCACCCGTATCCTCACGCAAGGTGCCTGGAGGAAACCTGCCCCCAAGTGCCCATCATTCCCCAGCGTGAGCAAGATTTGGATCTCTCCAGCCCCTTGGGACGTAGGGCGCTCCCTGGCACTGGGAGCATTCAAAGACGGGGCAGCGTTGGGAGGGAATTCTGGTAACATAGTGAACTGAGAGGGTGGCTGGAGGCTTCCCAATACTTACGCATAGAAATGTTAAAAAAAAAAACCAAAGTGAACTTGAAAGAAAGAAAGGGATGACCCCGGGGACCAAAGCTGGGTGGAAGGAGGGAAAGATACCGTGGGGGCTTCAGACGTGGAAAGAGGCTCGGGAGCCTGGGCTCTGACACCCAGGAGAGATGAGAGACATGTAAGAGGCTGGGGAGCAAGACACGAGCCTGAGTACATTCTAGGGTCTCAGGGGGCTACCTTGTTCTTGAAAAGGGACCAAAATATACCTCGACCTCCCAGCCTGAGGAGGTGGCAAGGGTACAGATGTTCAAGGCCTTGAGTGGAAAAAGTTACCCTAGAGAACCTGAAACTCAGGTCTGCACATCGAGCAGGAGTGTGGTCTGTCTCCACGGTATGAAAAGCTGAGAAACAGGAAAAAACCTCTGAGAAGGGCACTCTTTCAACCCAAGGCACATGGGACTTAAAAAAAAACCCCCTGTCACTTCTGAAGATGAAAATTACAAATCACCATGAGGGAGACTAGGCAGATGTGACAAATGGGAGAATTGGCACCCAAATGTGTCAATAATAGAAGAATCCAAAAGAGACCATAAAGTAAATGCAAAAAAATTGAGATAAAAGGAGGAAGAGAGACCAAGATGCAGTTACAGGATAATATGAAAGTAGAACAGGAAGATTTAAAAAAAATAACCCAGTGGAACTTCTAAAAATAAAGGATATAGCCATTGGAATTAAAAAAACCAATGGATAAGTTCAACAGCAGATGAGACATAATTTAAGAGAAGATTGAACTGGAAGCTATATCTGAGAAATCACTCATAAGGTAGCATTGAGGGATGAAAAGATGGAAAATATTAAAGGGTAGTTAAAATTTGTCATTCGGAGTCTCAGGAGGAGAAAATACAGAGAATGGGCATGAGGCAATATTCAAAGAGATGATGGCTGAAAATGTGCCCAGGAGCACATGGGAGCCAGAGAAGGATAAATAAAACACACGTATATCTAGATGCATCCCAGTGAAACTGCAGAATACTAAAGGAAAATCGTATAAAGAACTCGAGAGAAAACTCAGATTACTTACCGAGGAACAGTAATTAGACTCTCCAAAGACTTTTCATTGGCAACAGCAGATGCCGGAACATAATGGAATAAATCATTCAATGTGCAGAGGAAAAATGATTGCCAGCCAAGAAGCCTATACCTAGCTCAATCATTAGTCAAGAATGAAGGTGAAATATAAACTTTTTCAACAAAGAAAGGCTGAAAGGGTTTCCAGCCCACATACTCTTGTTGAAGGGATGGCTTCAGTAAGAAGGAAATTCAATCCCGAATGAAGGCAGAGTATGTACTAAATAACAGCCAGGAAAATAAATCAGTAAACATATTGGTAGATCTGAAGCAGCATTAGCTGTAAAAAAATTAATTTGGGGGATTTTAAAAACAAGGAGGGAAAATAAAATGGAAGATGGGAGGAGATGCTTTAGACATGCTGACATCATTTTCTTTTTTTCCTAGAGAAGAATAGATTTATTGATTAACTTTAGACTTTGTTAATGATTTAAGGGTAACCATTGGGCCGGCCCCGTGGCTTAGCGGTTGGGTGTGAGCGCTCCGCTGCTGGCGGCCCGGGTTCGGATCCCAGGCTTGCACCGACGCACCGCTTCTCCGGCCATGCTGGGGCCGCGTCCCACATACAGCAACTAGAAGGATGTGCAGCTATGACATACAACTATCTACTGAGGCTTTGGGGGAAAAATAAATAAACAACAAAAAAAAACCCAAAAAATTAAAAAAAAAATTAAGGGTAACCATTAACATAACAGAAATAGAGACAGATGTTCCATTCAATAGTCAAATCAATAGAGGAGGAAAACGAGGAAGTGAAGAAATCTTGATTAAGCCAATAGAAGCCTGGGAAAGAGGGAGAAAAAAGCAAAGAAAACCACAATACATAGAAAACATTAAAACAGAAGGTAGAAATAATCCTTAAAAGGTCAAAAATTACAATAAATATAAGCAGATTAAGTTTTTCAGTTAGAAGGCAGAGAGTCTCAGTCTCAGAGGAAAGTGTCAATATTGGACTGGGTTCCCTGGGAGTGACAGAGACTCAAAATAACAATGCTTTAAACTACATAGAAGTTTATTTCCCCCACAGGAAAGACCTCAGGTGAAATCCAGCTGTGTGGTCTTCAGGGACCCCGGCTCCTTCTGCTAGCTGTTCTGCCATACCTAGGGTGTGCCCGTGTTAGTTTGCTTTCCAAGTGGCAGGACAGGGGCAGGAACAAAGAAGAAAGGGGGCAAAGAACATGAACCACTTACACCCCCTTAGGCAGGCTCTTCACCTGGTACACCTAGCTGCAAAGGATGCTGGGAAATGCAGTCTTTATTTTGGGTGGCCATGTGCCCAGCTAGAAACCAGGGGTTCTTCTTCTACAAGGGCAGGGAGTAGATACCAAAGGGCAGCTCTCAGGGTCTTCCCCCAGCTGAGTGCAGGATCTAAGAGACACACTCAAAACATAATGAGGACTGAAAAGCTGAAAGTGATAGCTTGAAAAAAGATTTGCTAGGAGGAAATTAACCAGAAGAAAGCTAGTAGAACCAGAGGCATCTCAGACAAAAGTCGGCTACTTGGCAAAGAGCATTAGGCACAAATTGAGTCTCAATTCACTAAGGAAATCTATATGTTCCTAATCTGGATGCAACCATTAATGTGTTTTCCAACTAAAAAGAAAGCCTATTTAGAGTTTATATAGTCATTACTCTCTGAGGATAGTGTTGCTGTCAATTCAACTTAGATGACAGAAATTAACCAGCAAAAAGCAAGCATGCTGGTCACCTTAAAACTTTAGACGTCGTGATTCACAGTGTTCTGCCAAAGTGTTCATATAGAGCAAGAGTTGGCAGGCTTTTCTGGAAAGGGCCAGATAGTAAAGATTTTAGGCTTCCAGGACCATGTGGTTTCTGTTGCAAGTGCTCAAATCGGCTGTTGTAATTTCTGTCACCAAGCAACCAAAGTCAATATACCAATGAGTGGGTGTGGCTGTGCTGGAAATTTAATAAATAGTAACTAATTAAATTTGATTTGTTGACACTAAAATTTGAATTTTATAAGCTTTTATGTGTCACGAAGTCTTATTATCTTATTATTCTTTGACTTTTTTCCAACCATTACTAAAAGGTAAAATCTCTTCTTAGCTTAGGGGCTGTTTTGGGCCTGTGGGCTCTAGCTTGCTGACTCCTGATATAGTCTCAGAATGTGGAGAATGACCACTTCTGGAATACCTTTCTGTTTAGTTAAGATTGTGGAATGATAAAAAGTTATGAGCATAGTAGCAACTCCCTGTATGAATAGTCTATTTGCTCACTTTCAATGAATGGTTTTGTAATTTTTTTTCTATGTTGGTTCTGACTATATTTATTCAAATGTAATTTTATGTCGAATTAATCTGGTAAGACAAACTGTGGACTTTATTCTGTATGTCTTTTTTATTTCACTTTTCTAGATTTTATTTATCTTACAAAAGTACTGGTCCATGACGGGTTAGAAATGAAAACTGGTCCTTTACCACAACTGGTTTGAGAACCACTGATTTAGGAGTTCCTGCTCGCAACTGGTGCCCCCAAAAATGCCATGACTGGAGGCTGAGGGTAGGAAGTCTGGGTGTTCAGTCCTTCAACAAAGTCATAGAAACCTAAAGGCACGGTCCTGGCTGCTGCAGACACAGTGGAGGCCAGGCCAGGCCAAGTCCGTTCTTAACGGCACTCAGGTTCTACCGGGGAAGACAGACATAAACACGGAAGTATGTGAACAGGGTCTTGTCAGCCCCCACTCCTTCAGCCAGCCCCTCAGTTGGCCGGAAGTGACCAGGAGCCAGGAAGCTGGAGCCCTGGGTTATGTTCCTAACTCTGACCTTGGGCGAGTCAGTCTCTCGGGGCCTCCACTTTCTTATCGTGAAATGGGGTGGAGGTGGTGAGCATTACCAAAAATAACCTGTGTTAAGTGCTTAGCACAGGGCCTGGTGCCTTCTAAGAGTCTGATAAATGGTAGCTATTATGAGCTCGGATTTCAGGGTTCTCAAAGATTCTGTTTCCGGGTTCCTAAGATTCTGAGATGCTCGGATTTTCCAAAATTCTGAGATGATCTGTTTCCAGTGTTCCGTGGTTCTAAGAGTCTTTGATCGCTGAGGTTCTCTGTCATATGGGCCTGCCACCCATGTCCTTTGCCCCTCCCTCTCCCCACCCTGGGCCTGGGAAGTAGGGCAGTGGGAGGAGGAGGCTGGGCTGCTCCCTTGTCATGGCCCACATTCGGAGCCGGCTGTGGCAGCCCAGGGCCCCAGAGCCAGGCTGGAACCAGAATACCAGCCTCCAGGCCCCAGCCCTGCGTCATCTCTGAGTGCCCTTGGCCAGGGCCACCAGGGCAGGCGCCAACGCTGCCCCTCCAGGTGGAGAGAGGGACAGGGCTGACTGCTCAGGGCTGGAAGAGCCTCCTCCAAGATGGAAAGGCAGAAGAGTCCCAGGCTCAGCTCTACCCACAGCCTGCCTGCCGTGTGACACCAGGCAAGTTGCGGTGCAGCAGGACTGTCACATGTACAGTGGCGAGACGGGTGGTCCTGGAGGCCCTTCAGCCCTAGGGTCAGTCCTTTTCTCAGCCTTTGTGGGAGGGGGCTGTGGCCAGGCTGGTGGACTGGGCAGGGCTGGTGGGAAAGAAAGAGCAATTGTCTCTGCTGGAATTAAGTACCCCATTTATTAGCACAAAACACCACCAACCCAGCAGCCCCAAAGCCCGAGAATAAGTTAAGGCACAGAGCAGGCAAGGGGCGACTTTCCCAGGCCCACGCGCCCCAAACTTCCTGAGCAAACTTCGACGGGGACTGGGGGCTCGAGGGTCCTGGAGGGGCTTTTCCCTTGAGGTGAGGGAAACGGAGCCGGGCGCGGCCCGAGGAGCGCCCCCTGGAGACGATGCTGGATCCAGATCGAGGCCGGCGGCCGGCGGCCGGCGGCTCACTTCTCGAAGTAGGGCAGGTAGAAGAACTGGA